GCTCGCAATGGAAATCGTTTGAGCATTCTGTTGAGCATTCGTGTCGTAAAACCATGTCAGGAGGACACAGTCCGGGTTTGCTATTCATGGAAGAACCTTGAGAAAACGGTTGCACTGTTTAAACTCGACCTAGAATAAAGAATGAAATCCATACTTAGACAGAGCATGCGATTTCCTCCGAAACAGCATTTCTCTGTAGCATTAGGACAATGTTCATCTGCCGTGCAGGTCTGAGTGGCATCTGTGGACAGGTCGTCGAATTTGTACGGTGATTTAGGACATCTGCCGGTTCTTGACGAGACTTCTAAAACGAAGCTAAACAAAGAACGCATTGCTTGTAGAAAGACATTTACGGCTGCCGGGACAGCAGACTCCCTGGTCGAGCAGGCCAATTTCGTGACACCAGTAAGGCGAGGGGCAGTGCGAGGAAGAGTTGCACAAAATCAACTCGCTTTCAGTAGTTCGCAATGGAATTCCTGTCGAACATGGATTAGCGATGCCTGAAGCAAATCATAGAGATACTGAAGACTTAGGATATTAGCGTACATAATGGCAACGGCGGACAATCGTCAGTGCAGGATAGTTTGGCAGCGACGCAAACGTCAGACGAACGGCCACAACGTATTTTGCCGCATGGATCCGTGCACTCGCAAAGCGGACATCCATCGTCGTTCAGCGTGTAGCCGGCAAGGCATTCTTTCGAGCAAGACCACTTCGGACAGGACCTTGGTTGGCGACAGTTCGGCGGTGCCCTTCTGAGTTCTGTTCGAGTTCCAGGAACTTCCCAGCCTTTTTCGTTCACACAGAAACAATGGTTTTTATTGCACTGAATCGCCTCAAACATTCCGTCTATATCGCACGTTGGCAGGTCCAATTGGTTGTATGGCGATTCGTCTTTTAGCAATTCAAAGGTGGCACGCTGATGCAAGCAGCCTTAAGTTTCAAATTAATAATATTCTATTCTTCTACTTCTATTCTCGAATATTTGTGAAAATTTTACAATGCTGCAGGAAATGAGACATATTATTTTGTAAGTATTACAATGAGAGATATAGGCCAACATGAAAAAGGGTACAGATTCTGTATGGAAAGTGAGATGTATTTAACCGAGTTCTGTTAATCGTTGTTGCTAAAGGAAATTGAACAATGGGGTTGCCTCGAGTACTTGTATATTATCGGTTCAAAGTTCTCCGTTCAGATATTATGCAATTATGCAGACTCAAGTCGCTCATTGAATAGTGATGACAAATGGTGTTTCATGAATTTTTCTAGGTGTAGTATGATTTCTTGATGTTGG